TCATCGAAATCACGGTTTTTTAACTTTAAGTATCTTTCATATGTTATATACTCCTTAATTATCTGTCATGAGTTATATTCTTCTTAATTATCTCTCATGAATTATATACTCCTTAATTATCTCTCATGAGTTATATAATTCTATTTCTAATGTGTTATGTATACCTTTGATATGATGTCACAAAATTCTCTAGTTATCAGTATTAGCTCAGCAAATATCTGCAAGGAAATATCTACTGTGAGACAAGATATAGCAGTGCTCATTCTGGTATTGGTCTAGCAACTGTCTAGGAACTAGTCTAGCAGTGGGCCTTGTGATCCTTTTTACCAACCTCTGATGGCTACCTAAAGGTTGCTGCCACATATCAAAGAAAGTGAGAGTGTCAAAATTCATTTCTAGGAGTATCTGAGAAATAGATATTAACGGACCCAGGTAATATTCGAATTTACAACATTTAGAACCAGAAACTCTGGGAACCTTGCCTCAACGTGCTCGGCCATCATGTCCTCTGGACCTCAGTCTTACTAATGGACAAATTAAAATCTATCTAAGTATTTGAAAGAGTGTATAAACGTATGTTTAAATAGACCTTAAAATATTAAAACTAGTAAAGCTTGAATATTGCAACTCATTAGCACATAAATGTACACAGAACTAGAATATTCAATGGTAAAGCTTATTGTTGTTTGCATTCACTACGGTGTTGGAAGGAGTGCCGCCTAGCTAAGCTTGCTGAACTCGCACGCCTTATCACAGGGCACCTAAATACAACACACTCATGCACAACCCATTTAAAATTAAAATCATGCAAAAACAATAATGAAATACTAATCTAAAAAATAATCTGTAAAGAAATTGATATCCAAGAATTCATAAACACAATTATATATGTGGTTAACTTGTTAAGAATAAATTAAAGCTTTAAGCATATTTGGGTTAACTTATTTTTATTTATGCCATAAGATAAAAGAGAACGAATTATTAACTTAATAGTCATTTATTTATGCTTTTAACAATCAATTTATTTAAAAATTTATGTTTCGTAAAACTAAAAACTAGTAGTAATATGAATAATTGAAAATTTTCTATCCTATGAATTGTTAATAAAATTTTGTTTAAAAAGAAATATATATCATCATAAATTCACTTTATTTGATCTATGGTATGGTAGTAGATGTATGGGAATTTAGATTGAACAACAGAATATAAAACAGGGACTACTGGTGTTGGTTCCCATACAGTCACACCTCACGTGAGCATTGGCAGTTCTATAATGAACAGACTCCGTAGTTATATTTTAAATTAGCAATCTAACAGATGAGAATTTTTCAACCTTGAGACTACATAGCCATGAGATCATACAAGAATAGCTATTAATAGAATAACCAACATATCATTAAAAGAAAAAAACAAAACAAAAGCTTGGGTAGAACTGGGACCAGATTGAAAGTAAAATCAGTTGAATATCGTTAAAAAAATGTATATATTTTTTATTGTATTTTGAAGTACAGATTAAGTTGTAAATGTATGAGATGCTAATAAATGATCATTTTTATTTTAAAGTTATAAACCAATAAATAACATTTCAACCATAATTATTATTTTGATAAAACTATAATTATCATTTTAATAAAAATTTAAATAAATTTTGAATTTTAGGTAGTGTTTCAATAAAATTTTAATTGTGAATTTAAACTTATTAAATAATTCACCTAATAAAGTCATAATAACATTAAAACTATAATTATTATTTTGATAAAAATGTATTACCTTTACTACATAAAATTACCAAGTTTGTGATATAGTATCATAAACTATTTAAGCTCTGCAACATCAAGGAAAAACATGGAGTGCAACCCAGGATATTATGGCATTGATATACAAATGATATGAACAGTCAAAAAATGGAATATGTAAGTGAAGTAATAATCAAAACTTCAGATGCAAACTAAATAAAATATAAATTCAGCAGAACTATTGATTCTTAAGAGCATCTCATTCAACTCCAGCTGCAGCAATACAGATATAATTTGACTTTCATCCAATAGCTGCTTGTGTTATGCTATCTCTAATAATCTGTAAGAGAAGAACATGAGAATCGACCCCTTATTTTGAATGAAATATAAGAACCCTGCTTGAAGAAATGACATATTTTCTTGCTGAAAATGCAAAAGATCCGCTTGGAACGTGTTCTTAACTTTTAATGGAGAAAGCTTTTTAATCAGCCAATTATTCAAGAAGGAAAACATCAATATACAGGCCAACCTAACTCTTAAACAGGCTATCATTAAAATATGATACACCTTTAAAACGAAAATCCTCGTATTAGAGAAAATAGGCCAATAATATCATCGAAGTTCAGAAATTACAATTTATACTGCCAGTTCAGCACAAGCCATGACTTGCAATGCTGGAGCTGGAATCTACACATAACAATTCCAAATAAGTAATGCAGTAAGCAAATTTTGATGGAGAAATGAAACATTCTAGCTTTAGAAGCATTAAGGACCATACAGGCTAGAAACATTACACTTGTGGATTCGCACGCAGCAATACAGGCTGTAATCAGTGAATAAGATAGCCCATCTTTAGCTATACTTGCTTGCTGCCAAATTCTCCATGAGCTTCATTCAAAGGGTATGAACATCATTATATAATTGATACCGTCATTGCAGTATTGCAGGAAACGATGCAGCTGATGTTCTAGCAAACGAAGGTTCTCTACTGCCCCCAACTAGACCCATCTGTATAACATCCATGTAACATATGATAATGATAATTTTTAAAACCGAGGCACAAGAAACACTAAAAGCTAAAATGGAAAAATAAATAAATCTTTCATACAATATTAACTCCTGAATGATCCTTTCAGAACCCTTACAGAGTACAACTATCTGCAGGCTCTTTTAAATATAATAGGGGTAAAGAATAAAAAAAAAAAAGATGACGATTCTGCATTGGCAGGGACCACTTTGACATGTGTCTTGCAGATATAAGCAGAAAAAAGAACAGCGAAATTCTTTATATAAGGAGATCTAATCTTTTCTAGTCTGCTCGAAGTATTTTTGCTGTGAAAAATTATAATCAACTGTAAATTTGAGAATGTTGAAACCAATAAGTACTAAAGTATGTTAAAATCAAGTTAAATATAAAATGGAATAACAGAGACAGATAGATAAAAGGCAATTGGTTGGACAATCAGTATTAATATATGTACCAAGTTTCAAAATTAGGGATGAAGAAAAAGAAGGAACAAAAAAAATAATTGAAAAATATGTTGTTGAACATCTTTCAACAAAATAAGGAAAAGAATAACAAGAAAATTATAACACAGTGTTATTCATATGATAATCAACTTTTCATTTACAAAAAATGTAAATAATAAATAAATCATGGAAAAAAAAAAAAAATCATTTCTTTCTTGATGTATCGTGTTAAAATAACTGCTAAATATAATCCATAGACTTTAAGCAAATAAGAAAAATATATGCAAAAAACTAGTTTAGACAGAAATCAATAGTTGTTTTTGAGATTTTTTTTTCAATATAGTCCATGAGCTAATAAATTTATATATATGAATACCTTTGACCTCTGCCACAAATGTGGTTGAGAGTTTAATACTTCTCCTGCTCGTGTACTGGGCAAATGTTCCAACGAAATGCTCCTTGTAACTTGCCAGTACAATAATATAAAGAAGCAACAATCTGAACTCCTATAAATGAGCAGTTATAAATGTTCTTGCCTAGAAACACAAGGCTCAACAAGGTTTGTGGACATTTTAGCATTTAGTGTGACAGAAAAGATAGCACCAATATTAGATCCCACGATCAGGCTCAAAATGAACGATTAAGATCAATAATTCAAGATACAGATAGAGAAAGAGGAAATCTATATGAAAACCGTAACGTGCTTACTATACAAAAAAATAAAAAAATAAAAAGGGATAAGTTTAGCAAAAGACAATTCTCAGTTGAAGGGGTGTGGTTTGGACTTCTTAAAGCAGTTCAGTATTGGAAGGGAGCAGAACATGGCAGTAACTATTACTTTAGACACTGGTTGGGGAGAACCCTTCATCACAATATATGTTAATCTTGCCTTCATTTATTCGATTATGTAGACTTCTTAACATTTGATATGTATTAGAATGGTCCCACCTAAATCTCTTTTGTGTTTTTAATGATATCTGTTGACTGATAAGTATGCTGCATGACTTAGCAGCTCAACAGAGTAGAGCAGCAATGAACATTTTTGGTAGTTCTCTAATAAGGATAGGATTAAATGAATTAATCTGGAAAAACCAAAGAGAGTAAATACAATTTCCAAAAATATTCTTAACCATAGCAGATTAAATAATGATTAGCAATACAAATTGGAAATAACAATGAATATTATTAAAATAAACATCTCATTGTCTCTTAAAATTATATGCATGTAAAGCTACATATTCTTTAATAAATTAAATCTTATGGCAAACTAATATAAAGAAATCAAATTAAATAATGTTGAATATACTACCACTTGAAAGTCACTGATTTTTAAGGGTTAAATTATTTAAAAGGTTAAAAAGAGAAAACTGATCCTTCCCGAACTTCTAAAATAATTTTTTTTTTTAAAATAGAAAGTTAAAATGGTGAAGAATAATGAATAAATTTCAATACTTTAGAAATTAATATTTGTAACAGGGAATCAAAAACAGAGAAATAATTCGATACATATCATCTGAAAAATTATATTGAAATTTTTTGAAGTAAAAAGTCTGAATTTAGAAAAAGCAAAAAAAAATGTTTATCATCCTAGAAATTTTCCTATGTTTGTCATTAGAGAAATAAATGTAGAATTAATAGAACTATTAATACTCGAGAATACTTTTACATTTATTATAAATTGTGCAACAAAATAAGTTTATGAAAGGTAATTATGGATTCTACAATGAAATAACACTAAAAACATATATAATTTACAACTTAACCACCAAAGAATAAATTAATTTCTAGACTTACTCTCTTTCCAGGCTTCTCCTTCGTAATTCTTCAATAGTAATACCATTTGTTTGTTCCCAGGCTGTTTTTTCTGCTTCTAGAGCTTTTCTTTTTTCTTCAAGTTCTTTTATTTGTAGTTCTAAACTTTTTTTCATTTGTTCATGCCTACGTTGCAACTGTAAAATGCAAAAAAAATTATTAAGCAAATAAAAAAATTGTCAGTCAAATTACCAATCTTAATAAAAAATAAGGTCATGGCCTATACATGGCCTATATATCGGTCTTTGATCAAATTTATGTTTTTGTTGATCCCTTGACACATTTATGAGCAATGAAAATAATATTCAATGTGGAAGAGAGCGATATATCGGTTTAAAAGGATGACCAGAAAATTGAGCAGAGGTGCACAAAAAAAAAAAAATAAATAAATAAGAAGAAATCAAACTACAAATCTTGATAAAATCTTGGGAAAGGAGAGGTCAAAAAAATAAATAAATAAAAATTGGTCCAACTCTACCAGCCCAAAATATTCAATAAAAAAAAAAAATATATGTATTAAAATTGCCAATATATCAGCAAATCGCAACTTAATATCGGCCGATACCTATAATCGGCCAAATGGCCGATATTAATATTGGTATCGGTCGATCTCTAGTTGAAACATATACAAAAATTAATTAAATATTTTATTTTTTCAAGAAAAAAATAAATAAATCATCACCTTTTTGCTAGATTGGGAAATTACACTCTTAACACCAAAAACTGTTGGCAGTTCATCATTTAATCTATGTCATGAAACCCATGAAGCTGTAATTTTTAATTAATTACAATATTTAATTTGAATTATTCTATAGGTGATAAATATTTAAGACGCAGTCATTGTAAGGTTTTTATTTGTGCCGATGTTTCAAACCAAATGTGTGGATCCATCATCAGGGCGTGGTTCGAGCACTGAAGATATTCAAGTACTCGAACCGATGATGATGACCCACATGTTTGGGTTGAAACGTCGGCACTAATAAAAACCTTATAATGACTGCGTCCTGAATATTTATCATCCATGATATGTAGAACAGTCAACTAACTTCCTTCAATAATGAATTATTCTATATTTACCCAACCAGATAGAGTTAGCTTACGTTAATATAATAACTACTATACTATCTAAAAAGAGTTAATAGTTCAGTCATAATATTTAATTTAAGACTTACTAAATGATATCAAATGTAAAATTATTATTTCCACAACTTTAACAATCAAGAGAATATTCAATTATTAAAAATAAAATAATTCAATCAAATGTAACATATAATGAATAAATAGCTTACATCTGCTTCAGAATCTTTGAGTTTTTGCTTTTTTTCTTTTACTTTCATTTCAAAAACTTGCTCCATTTCAGTTTCCATTTTTTTCATTTTTATGTCATGTTCCCTCTTTTCCTCTTCCATTTGAGCAAGAGGATTCCTTTGAGGAAAAAACAAAATACATAAATACAAACATACAATTTCAAAATGTTAAAAATTACCTAAAGATTAAAAAAAAAAATAGATGCAAAGATGTTTATATAAATATATTTATCATAAAATTTTACTAATGGAAATTCTTTTCAAGAGTATATACTATTAAATAAAGGTTTTTATTTCAAGGAATATATTTTATAACCCTTATTTACTTCATTAATATTAAAACTTTATTTCATTATTGTATATGGATGATGTTTTGGAAAATTTTGCCCATTTTCAAGTAAAAAATGAAATCTATAATATAAATGACATTATTATAAATATATATCAGATCAGCAAATCAACAAAAAAACAGAAAATCTATAACCACCATTAATGAATTAGACTTATACTTACAAATGACTTTTACATTAAAACGTATTTATTATTGTTTATTATATAATTTACCAGACGATAGTTCAAATAAAAATTATATAAAACTATTGTTATTTAAACAAATGTTGAAAAAATTACCGTCTTGTGTTTCATAAAAAAAGATGAATGTCTATTATGACTATGAGCTAAATTATCATAATTTTGCACATAGAGATTAAGAATACTGTATTTAACATGATTCAAAGTTTCCCAAATAATAATTATTTATAATGTTTATTTAAAATCCTAATTTACTTATTATATCCACATAATGTTGCCCAATCCCATTGAACATTTTTAGTGACACAAATTGAATCCAAAAATTCATTGTCATTCTTGACAGTTTTAAAATAATCAGTTATCAAACCTTTTTTTTTTTTTTAAATTTCACTTACTTATATATGTAATGTAAATTAAGGGTAAGTATTGCGATCATGGAAATTTTCGAATCTGAGTTTTTAACGGAAATACACGTTTTGAGGTCCCTTGAGTCCAAATAACCAAGTCCCGCAAAATGGAAGTTTGGGTACGCTAATGTTATTTTTATTGTTTACTATTTGTGTGAGTAGAAAGATGTTGAATCATGGTCTCTAGTATGATTTAAATGAATTTTCTTTTGCTTCCTTTTGTTATTTTTAAAATTACAATAGATTAGGGTAAATATGATTGCTATCGTCCACTAACTTTGTTTTCAAGAAGTACAAAAGTAATTAAACCCCCTCTGTTTCTTATTTTGTCTGTTCTAATTGTGTTTCAGGTGTTATATAAATGTGAAAATTTAGCTTAAGAATCAACCAATCATAATGGAATCTTTAAAGCTCATAGCCAAATATTTAATTTATTATATGGGCCTATATTAGTATTTTTTTTTTTCGGTTGGCTCAACATACTTCATAGATCTTAGGCTACCTAAACCAGACTTCTTCGCTTCCCCTTATATTGGACTACTTTTCAGTTAACGACATGAAGTTATGTCATATCTTTGTTGATCTTCTATCTACATAGTTGCTGGCTCCCCACATGGTCCCTTGCCTACTACTATGGCATTTATTGTTGAGTAAAAGTATCTTCAAAAAAGTATTTACGTTTTCATGAAAATTATTGAAGCAACCAGCAGATTTCTTTATTTTACCATAAATTTTAGGACTAGAAACTTTTAGTTTGTTGCTAATAAATACAGATTAGTTCCTGTAAAAGAGATCTGGGTGAAAAACACAGTTTCACCAAGCACTTAACATACAATTTTTTTTTTTTTATTTGAAAAATTATTATTTTAACTTTTTTAAAAATAAAAATGCATTTAGGCAATTATTTTTATTATAGTACATCCCAGATCATAGAAAAACAAGAAATAAAAGCTTTTCAACAATTAATTATAGTTATTTTTACAAAAAACGCAGGTACTTTTACATGATGGGGAAAAATCACATTATTTTTTTAACATAACTTGAACTGAATCTGAGATTTTTACCTAAAAACCTGAACTTAATCGATATTGACTTAGATCATATTAAACGAGGAAGTTTTTTTCTAAAAGTGGGGTTTCTGTAGTATATTGGATGATGATAAAACAAATCGCGAATAATTTATTTTACTTAAAAACAGAACTTAGCTTAGTTTAGCCACTCAAAAGTCCTCTTTCAATTGTTTTAACAATGAAAAACTCTATTCTCATTTGAAGTAAATTTTGTCTAGTTCACTGTGAAGAAATTGTTAATTACTTAAATTAAATATTTCATAGTTATCATTTACTTTTTAACAAAAAGCGGGATTTACTACGTTATGTTTTTAAAGAAATCACAAATTATTTGCAATTTTTTTTTTATTATCATCCAACCACACTCCAGATACCACACTTTTAGAAAAACTTCCTCGTTTAATAATCTTTCAGTCCATGTTAATTAAACTGAGGTATATCAGACAGAAACTTGAGTTTCGACTCAAGTTGTGTAAACCAATTATGTGATTATCTATTCTGTCTCCTAAAAGTATAGCAAAAATGAGTAGAATTAACTGTTACAAAGCTTTAATTTTTCCTGATCTGGGATGTATTTTAATAAACATGACGATCTAAATACACTTTTAATTTATAAAAATAAGAAATTTAAAAATAATGATTTTTCAAATATTTTTCATATAAAGTGGTTATGAAACTGAGTTTTTCTCCCATATCTCTAGCATAAGAATCAATCCGTATTTATAAGTGACAAAATTAATGTTTTAGTGCTAAAATTGACATTTAAAATAAAGAAACCTACTGACTGCTTCAATTATTTCCATGAAAACGTAAATATTAGGGCTCGAGACATTCACTTTGTCACTTATAAATATGGGTAAATTCCTATGAGAGAGAAAAACACAGATTCGTAACCACTTAACATGAAAAATCATTATTTTTATAAATAAAAAGTGTATTTAGACAATTAAATATATTAATAGATCCCAGCTCATGGAAAAACAAGAAATAAAACCTTTGCAACAGTTTATTATAGCCTTTTTTGCTGAAAACACTTGTACTTTTAGGTGACAGGATAAAACAATCACGTCATTTTTTTACACAACTTGAGATGAATCTCAAGATTTTCCCAAATAAACCTCAACTTAATTAATATGGACTTCAAGCTTATTAAAGGAGGGCATTTTTTTTTAACAGGATGGTATCTGGAGTATACTCCTATCCCAGATCATATCACATTGACATGACATATCACCATCTCATCAGAGACCCGCCATTCCTTTTTAATTTTACATAATGGTGATAAAAAAGTTTGAAAAAACACACTAAATTAAAACTTAAATAAGTTCCCCTCCTCTGAGTCCTGCTAGCTTAGTTTCAGAATGATCAATATTTTATTCTAACAGTGAAATAAACTAACATATTAAAAGGAAAAAAACAATATAAATTCTTAATAACATTATCATATGGTACATAAGTTATTGAAAGCCATATTAAGGGCTAAACAAAGTTGTACATCTCTAAATCTTTTCTACTATACTGGTCAGAGTTCAATAAGCACAATTCAAAATACTGCAAAGCTGTTCATAAATTGTTAGAAAGGGGTATACATAAGGAAAGTAGAGAGAAATTTGTATAGCAGTGATAGGAGACCTTAAGAAGTACAAAAAAGGTTGTATAAACAATGAGTCAATTTTCAGAAGAGTAGAAGTTTTGTGTTTTTAGTTTGTTTTGTTGAGTTTTGTGTGTTTGTCGAGTTGTTTTTAGTTGAACAGGAAGCATTAACTAATGAAATATTTAATTTAAGTAATTAATAATTTCTTCACAGTAAACTAGAGTAAGTTTACTTAAAATGAAAATAAGAGTTTATCATTGTTAAAACCATTTAAAGAGGACTTTTGAATGGCTAAACTAAGCTAAGTTCTGTTTTCTAGCATTAGAATTGATAAAAATCTCTAAACCTAAAAAGTTGTTGTCCTAATTGACTCGCAAGCAGTAATAATTGCCATTTCAGATCCTTCCTCCTGTTCCAAAAAACAAATTATTATGTGCCAGGAATTGATTGAGGAGCTGATTTTAGAAGGCACAGATGTCGTTCTACAGTGGATACCAGGACACTATGGTTTGACAGGTAATGCAAATGCTGACCAATTAGCAAAAGAAGGTGCCGGAAAAGATCAGCCAGCTATGCCAATATGTTTTTAAGTGAAAAGATAAATTATTAGCGATTTGTTATATCATCATCCAACTAAACTACAGAAATCCCACTTTTAGAAAAACTCCCTCATTTAATATGCTTTAAGTAAACATTAATCAAGTCGAGGTTTATTAGGCAAAAATCTGAGATTCAATTTAAGTTGTGTAAATAAAATGGTGTGATTTCTTATCCTGTCAAGTAAAAGTACCCAGAAACAGGAAAACGCTACTCTAATTACTAAGTATTTTAATTAAATACTGACCTTTTTTGGGTACCTAAGAATTTAATTACTACTTCAGTTGATGTCAAATGATTAACTGAGATAGTGATTGAATTCCTAATAGTGATTCAATTTGATTAAAATACATGGTACTCGGTATTTAGAGTAGCATTTGCCCATCTCTGAAAATATCCCTGTTGTCAGCAAAAATGACTACAATTAATTGTTGTAAAGCTTTTACTTCTTGTTTTTTCATGATCTGGGATCTATTAATATATCTAATTGTCTAAATACACTTTTTATCTATAGAAAAAATAAATTTGAAAATACAGATTTCTCAAATATTTTTTTGGTGAAGTGTTTATGAAACTGTGTTTTTTATGTAGATCTAGGAATTGATCCGTATTTATAAGGGACAAACTAAATATTCCTGATACCTATATTAACATTTTCATGAAAATAATTGAAGCAATCAGCAGGTTTCTTTATTTAAAACGTACACTTTAGGACTAGAAACATTTATTTTGTCACTTATAAATAGGCATGAATACAGATTTTTGTGAAAAATAAAATTTCATAAACAATTTACATGAAAAATATTTGAAAGATCATAATTTTTTTTTTTCTTTAAAATAATAAAAAGTATATTTAGGAAATTATGTTTATTATAATATATCAAAGCAGATCATGGAAAAACAAGAAATAAAAACTTTG